GAAGGAAACCATCAACTGAAACACCAGATTTTCTGCAATTCCAACAAGTCCAACTCTAGTTCGTTAACCACCCAGAATCCACCCGAGGCCCCCGGGACCTCAACCAAACATGCCAACAAGTCCTAAAACATCATACGAACTTAGTCGAGCCTTCAAATCACATCAAACAATGCAAAAAACTCGAATCATACCCCAATTCAAGCTTAACGAAGCTAAGAAATTCCAACTTCTACATTCGATGCCGAAACCTATCAAATCAAGTCCGATTGACCTCAAATTTTGTACACAAATCATAAATGACATAACGGACCTATGAAAATTTTCAGAACTATATTCCGACCCCGATATCAAAAAATCAACTCCCCCGGTCAAACTTCCAACTTAAACTTCCTATTTTCGTCATTTCAAGCCTAATTTAACTATTGACTTTCAAATAATTTTTCGGACACACTCCTAAGTCCAAAATCACCAAACGAAGCTATTGGAATCGTCAAAACTCTATTCCGGGGTCGTTTACACATAAGTCAATATCCAGTCAATAATTTCAACTTAAGCTTTAAATCATGGATCTAAGTGTTCTAATTCATTCTGAAACCTCTCCGACGAGTTACAAAATTATAGTTGAATACAGGATAAGCAGTAAATGGGAAAACGAGACTGTAATACTCAAAACGACCGGTCGAGTCGTTATACTTATTCTTGCAATTACGTACGAAATGGAAAATTGAAATATCTAAACAGCAAAACTGTTATTTATAAGGCAAAAATAAAAGCTAACCCTTCCACAACTTCACCTTAGTATTATTATTTTTAGCCCGCGCTAGAAATTATTTATATTTGGTGGCCGAAAAAGTATATAAAATTTATATAATTTTTGTTTATAACATACAGAATGTATATATATATATATACAAAAAATATATATTATTTTGGCTATTATTTTGAAATCGGCTATACAGTAGTTATCATTTTTCCAATAAACAACATTAGAAAATAAAAATAGTTCTTTTTCGTTCTTGGTTTTCAAAAATGTATAATGGCAGGGTTAAGATGACGAATATGTCATTAATAGACACTGCATGCCATCTGATTCGATCTGAATCTATGTTTCGATTATTTTATTTAAAATTTAGAATACTATACTGGTGGAGGAAAAATAAATTATTTTGAGGGCAAGTTGCAAAATGGTGATTAGAAAGAATGCACCTCAACCCCAAAAGTATCATGAACAATCAGCAAGAAGATATGTTTAATTAATACCCTATCAAATTAGGAGTCAAACTGTAGACGTCTAATAAAGTCAAAGGCATCTCTATTTGTATCAAAAGCTAGCTAATTGAAGATTTTAAGAGGTAGTACTACTTAGAATACTGTAAATTTTAGAGATTAAAGCTAAACTACTTCAAAAGTTGTAATTCATGGATGTAGGAAAGTTTGGGAATGTTAATTTTCGTTGGTTAGGAATTCAAATGGACAAAAAGGACAGTCGTAGACACAAACCCTATGATTTAATAAATAAAAAAATGGTACAAATCATTACGAAAGAAGAGTTCTCATTATAAAGGCATATTTCACTTTATTCATAATAGAGTTTGGTTTCAAAAAAAAAAAATATTTGAATAAATAAATTAACTTTCGTTCGAGAATAAAAATGGTTATAGTTGATCTAAAAGGGCTAGCGGTAGAGCTAAAGGTTACTTTATCATTTGATTTCATCAGATATTTTTTTTCCTTTTCTTTACCTATCGATATTTATTCTGCATACACTATTAGATCATATAAACCTTGAACTACATCATTACTCTAGATAGATAAAACTAAGAAGTTTTAACTGCCATTTTGAGGGTGCAAATGTCAGAGAAGAGTAGGCATTACAGGTTTGTCTTATAAAAAGATCTGCCAGATTATTTTCAACTCACGAAGGAGAAGAAAACCAGCAAAAATTATGGCACGGGTCAAATCTTGGGAGCACTTAGCTTAAATAATGAATTTCTACTCCATCAACATAGCAATAAAGAAGAAAAATTAAATAAAAGTAGAAGCCAATGAGAGGGATGGAGAGAACCTTCCAAAATTCACTTTAGAGGACGAGGTATTATGGGAAATCATGGCCCCCGAATTAAAATACAAATTTTAAGCACTAAAATGAGAAAGAAACCAAGGACTCAAAGTAGGTTAGATATTTATTTTAGTACTAAACACTTGAAAATTTAAATTTCCTTTATCCCTATCTAGATATATATAATATTATTACGACGCATTCAACTTCTTTTAATGGATTAATGAGAAAGAACAACTCAAAAGAGGTGTTTCCATCAAATGACATCACCATTCACTTAGATCACTTTTGAACCGTTGTGTGCGCATGGAGTTTTAGGCCATCTCTTCCCTCTTTCTTTAAAAATTAGGGTATGTTTGGAAGGAAGTAAAATGTTTTCATTGAAAATGAGTGATTCTATCACTTATTTTCTCTTGTTTGGTTGATGAGTGGAATTTTTTTTCCAAAAAAATATTTTTTAGTGTTTGGTTAGAGAGTAGAAAATAATTTTTTATGCTACTCTCCTCACCCCCTTCCCCAAGTCCATATGTTTCTTGTGGTTCCCTCCAAATACCCAACATTTTCATGACTCTATTTTCTTCAAAAATTTAATTATTCTTCTAAAAATTCTCACAAACCCAAATTAAGAAACTAATGTGTTGCTTTACATTTTTACGCAAAAACAACGTTAAAATTTGTGCTCCATAACTACAAAAAAATGCTCTTTTTTTTTGTTGAAAAAGAAAGTACTATTTTCTATAACATGAAAATAAAGTACTCATTTTGTTGAAATGAAAGAAAATACTTTTTCTACATGATGAAAAGAAANATATACCGACTAGGAAAAATAAACAATAAATCCACCCGACTGCTGTATAAAAATGCTTTTTTTGGGTCCAATATACAAATAATTCTTCATAAATGCAATTTTAATTGATAGGGAAATAAGTAATTTTTAGTTTCCCAAATTTCAAAATAATTTTATGANTTCTACATGATGAAAAGAAATACTCATTCTGTTGAAATGAAAGAAAATACTTTTTCAACATCATAAAAAGAAAATACTCTTTTTGTTGAAATGAAAGAAAATACTTTTTACTACATTTTGTTGAAATGAAAGAAAATATTTTTTTCTACATCATGAGAAGAAAGTACCTTTTTCGTGAAAATAAATTACTCATTTGTTGAAATGAAAAANGTGTATAATCTATGTATATTGGCTTGAAAAAATATATATTGATTCAGACCCGCTATTTGTGTTAGGAGGGAGGGGATGGCCAGAGAAATATTACCAATATGGAGATGAGGCCCAACTATGTTATAACTAGATTATTCGCTAGAGTTTTTTGCTTTTATTATATGACATTGTGTTAAAGTGAATATAAAATATTGTTTTAGTGGTTGAGCAATATTAAACTCCTCATTTTCTCCCGTAGAACGTATATGTAAAAATAAAACCTAGCGTAAGGACATATAAGAGGAAGCGAATTAAGAAGAGGTACTTTATGATATTATGGCGAAATGAAAATGTAAGAAGAAAATATATGCTATTTAAAATCAGAAATTTTGACATTACCTACAATGATCATTGTTTTGAGTGAACTAAACAGTACTTTTATTTAATAAAAAAGAAAGTTCTTTTATAGCTATCGAAACTCAAATTATTTGAACAATAAACTTATGAATAATGATCCCGGAGATTTAGTGTTAGCACTCGAGATGTAAGTGTTAACAACATGAAAGTAAGAGTCAGAATTATGAACCATATATACACAATGATAAAACTCGATATATTATAAAAGAGATAAGAAGTATATATTATTAGTGTATAAAATTTAAACTCTCCGTACTCCATAGAAGCCCCTTTTTATGCCTACAAGCCAAAGAAAAATCTTTTTTGCTCTTTCTTTTTTTCTTTCCCTTTTCGGAAGGCTCACATAAACTAACAAAGTAGTTTCTTTTTTCTTTACAGAGGATCTCATTAATTTATTAATTAATTTAATTGAGTTGTCTTGCATGTTTACTGAATTTTGTCTTCCCGAGCCAGAATGAGGTCTCCATTTGACCCTTCGCGAAACACAAGAGGCCACGTTCTACATTTGGAGCCGTCGCTCTTTTTATTTTTTAATTAATTCCAAATACACATAAAATACAGCACATTAAACTTTTTAAAAGAGATTTTCTTAATCTAAATTAATTAATGTATTTCCTTATCACTAAGGTTAGTTATCCTGGCCATTAATACAATTAGTTACTACCACTCTTTATTTTTATCTTTATCTTTGGTTAGTCATTTACTTCGGGCACATCCCCACAAAAAATGTGAACACCATTAATTTTTAGAAGAATATTTAATCTCCTTTAACTACTTGCTGTGCTAGTCTTTCACATAGCTAATAAAGGTCCTATAATTTTCATTTCATTCGTTTTATTCCAGTCAATTTTTATAGTTATCCTAAATAGCGCTTTCGATTTTACAGTCAATTTCTTTATGGTTAACTAAATTGAGGGCTCTCAATACTCGAAAGCATATACGACGTTATCTATCTTCTTAAAAGAAATTAAATTATCCTATTTAATTGTGACCACGACACATTACTTAGTAAAGACGGAAAAACAACTTACATTCGGTATTTGCACACTATCGACGAACATAACATATATCTTTCACATAGTGTACTTCAGTAGATTACTTAAACATGATTAAGTAATCTGGGCTGGTATGAATGGTAGCTAAGTGTGAATAAGTTTTACCGGTAAATTAAAGAGTAACAGATTTTATACCTATATGACTATATATCATTCATAGTAATGTAATTAAGAGATTAATCTGAGAGCTAGATTTCGTATTAAAAGAATATTGTCGCATCTGTTCTCTTTCCACAAAATGCCGTATAGCCCCTAGGGAAGTAATGATTGGCTTGCTTTCAAGCCCATCTTTTTCCACTCTATAAATAGCCTGAAATCTCCCCACAAACATCAAGCCCACAAATCTTTTTTTCTCTCTTACTAGAAGTGAGCCTTTGCCATAAACTAGAGAGTAATACACCACCATGGCTATGGTGGTATTAGTACTTGTCGTATGTATCTTTTTATCACTGAAAATTGCCTATGAAACTCTATCATCTTATTGGCTAACCCCAAGACGTATCAAGAAAATCATGGAAAAACAAGGAGTGCGTGGTCCGAAATCTCGGTTTCTTGTTGGGAACATCTTAGATATGGCTTCTTTTGTTTCAAAATCAACCAAAAATGACATGGATTCCATTCAACATGACATCGTTGGCCGCCTTTTGCCGCATTATGTCACCTGGTCTAAGATTTATGGTATTATTAATTTCGCCCCTTATTCCTATTGCATGTTTACTACTAGTAATTAATTCAGGTAGTGAGATTAATATTCTTGTGTCTTTGTTAATTAACAGGAAAAAGATTCATTTACTGGAACGGGATAGAGCCGAGAATGTGCTTAACTGAAGCGGAATTAATCAAAGAGCTTTTCTCCAAATACAGCACTGTTTCTGGGAAATCATGGCTGCAACAACAAGGTTCTAAGCATTTCATCGGCCGTGGTCTTTTGATGGCTAACGGCGACGCTTGGTACCATCAACGCCACATTGTTGCTCCCGCTTTCATGGGAGACAAACTCAAGGTACTGTATTTTACATTGCGAGTATATAAAAATTAAATTCTTTCAAAATATTTGATGAGGATAAAATGGTTGGATTTTTAATGATGAGCAGAGTTATGCGGGGTACATGGTGGAATGCACTAAAGGGATGCTCCAATCACTAGGAAATGCAGTAGAATCAGGTCAAACGGAGTTCGAGATTGGAGAGTACATGACTCGGCTCACTGCAGATATCATATCAAGAACTGAGTTCGACAGTAGCTACGAGAAGGGAAAACAAATATTCCATTTATTAACACTTCTGCAGAACCTTTGCGCACAAGCTAGTCGGCACTTGTGCTTTCCTGGTAGCAGGTAATTTTATTTAGTGCTCATCTCACCACTTTTTCTTTTCGCTTTTCTTCTCCACCAAAAATAGATTTTAGATTCTTTATTTGATAGGAAATGCCCATTTCTTATTTCCTTTTTTTTCCTTTTCAGATTCTATTTTATTTTTTCTTGTTCACGAATTATTGGTTAATGGTTAGTATAAATTCCAGAACATTTGAAAAAAATTAAGACAAAAAGATATACAGTTTCGACTCTTGGAATTGACAGGCGTGACTCTACTTCCGAGTAATCTCATCAATGCGATATGCATTGGCGGATGGACTGTATAATTACTAATTGGTTAAATTGGATCCAAAAACCCACCATAGTAGCGGATTTTGAATAAAAAATTGCCTCTATATATATATATGAAAACTTATTAAATTTTAAATAATATTAAATTCTGACTCATAATTGCAACAGTGTAATAAGGTATAGTATAAGAACCAAAAGATTAAATAATTAAATATAAATCGTGAATTCACCTTCTACTAACGCATGTCTTAAAAATGGTTTACTAAGCTGGGCAGACATTAATTAATTGAGTATTGTTATTTGTTTTTCCACAGGTTTTTGCCAAGCAAATATAACAGAGATATAAAAGCATTAAAAATGGAAGTGGAGAGGCTACTGATGGAGATAATACAAAGCAGGAAAGATTGTGTAGAAATAGGAAGAAGCAGCTCATATGGGAATGATTTGTTAGGAATATTATTAAATGAGATGCAAAAGAAAAGAAGCAGCAATGGATTCAGCTTGAATTTGCAGCTAATTATGGATGAATGCAAGACATTTTTCTTTGCTGGACATGAGACTACTGCCCTTTTGTTAACTTGGACTTCTATGTTATTAGCAAGTAATTCCTCTTGGCAAGATAAAGTTAGAGATGAAGTCAATCAAGTTTGCAAAGGAGATCCACCTACTGTTGAACATCTTCCAAAGCTTACTTTGGTAAGTACCAAGTTTTTTTATTATACATATTCTACTACAACTAATGATTTTTTTTTTTGGCGACTAAACTCACTACAGATTACGGAAAAATTGTCAAAAGGACTTTTTAGATAGAAAGCTGATGAAGGTCAATAGTCCAATCGCTGAAACTTATTTGTAGCGATACTTAAAAGTCGCCACAAAATATACTTTTCGTGTTGAATTTAGTCATTTATAAACAAAAAACAAATTCAAAGAGGTCGCCACTAAAAAATAAGTATTTTAGAGAAGTCTTGTACGATTTTCAAAAGGTGTCTTTGGATGGACTCGTTTGAGTGTGGTGATTGTAGGACTAGTCTCGATTTGGGTACGTAGGATTGTTTAAAGTATTCCACATTTTGAAAGTTCTTTTTTTCTTTTCTTTTTTTCCCAATTTGACATTATTTAATTAGGGAGGAATGGAATTACGAAATATAAAGATTATCACGCTCGAGTGTCCAACTGTCAACTAGCTAACTTGAAACTTGTTCTTGATCAATAAATTCCTTTCTTTAGATCTTGCTGCATATATAGCTTTGCTGGCACTGAGCAGTAGCTTGGCAAATATTAAGCCAGAGAAAAATATTTAACTATTATTTCACATAATCATGTAAGAAAATGGTGGGAGTAAGTTCATTCACTGAAAATCAGAATGATTTAAATACTCTTATAGCTCTTTTGGCTCCTCATGCTTCGTTGGCTATTTATGTCATTACATTTTTGTAGTCTAGTAGTAGCATGGTCCATTTTTTTTTAATTTAACTTATATACATCGATAATATAAATTAAAAACGTTTATTCTTGTGCAGTTAAACATGGTAATCAATGAGTCGCTTAGACTCTATCCACCAGCTTCTGTACTTCCTAGAATGGCATTTGAGGATTTTAAATTAGGTGACCTTCATATTCCAAAGGGTTTATCAATTTGGATCCCAGTACTTGCCATACATCATAGTGAAGAAATATGGGGAAAAGATGTTAATGAATTCAGGCCTGATCGTTTTGCATCTAAGTCTTTTGCCGCCGGCCGGAATTTTCTCCCGTTCGCCGCCGGTCCCCGGAATTGTGTTGGCCAATCTTTTGCATTAATGGAAGCCAAGATCATATTAGCCATGTTAATATCCAAGTTTCGATTCACCATTTCAGAGAATTATCGCCATGCACCTGTGATTGTCCTCACAATTAAGCCTAAATATGGAGTTCAAATCAAGTTGACACCTTTGACTCCTTGAGAAATTTTGGCCTAGTGGAATTTTTTTTTTCCAATAATTTTTTTGCTTATTAAGAGCAGTTTTTGAGGAGGGTGGAAAGCTTGAAAAATAGTACCGATGATACGAGTAGCTCTTTTATTTAATATATAATGTTGGATCGAGATGAATTTAAATGAAATGATATGGTTAGTAAAAATTCAAATAATCAGCTCCAAATTGTCTTTACTTTAAGCCTGTTATTACTATTATTATATTATATTTTATTTTTTTGTCGAAAATTGAGATTAGTTGTGGTTATGCAGAGAAAAGGTCTGATGATCTTGCTAAACAAAAAATAAGTGATAGAAAGAGAGGAAGAGATTGCGACTATGCCTTTGAGGTTGATGAATTATCATTTATTCAGTGGGCTCAGAAAAAGATGGTTAGGAGATTAGAATAAGAAGTCAGGACAAGAACAGATATATGATAAGTTGATGAGGGACTTTTTTTGGATAAGCACCCAGCAATTCATTAATTAAGTAATGACAACACAAAAGTTGATATTGGTTAAAAAGGTTTTCTTCTTTTCTTTGATGCCCCCATAACATTTTTAACTTTGATAATGTTTTGATTCTTCTATACCTTTTTCCCCAACTCAACTGATTCAACATAGTGCTCACTTTTCAAGTCGAAAAATTATATATAGACCAACTTGGATTTATTTTAACAAAAAGGGTAGGGTAGGAAAATTAATAACCTTTATATGACACCCCATCATCTGTCTACGCCACTCTGGTCAATTCCATCAATATATGTTATTACTATGTATTACTCCTCTATATTTAGTATTATTTTTGCAATAATTTTAAAATTCTATATTTATTATTTAAACGTAAGGAATAATGAATCTAACCTTCTAGCTAGTCTTTTGCATTTAGATAAGAAGCTTGATTTTATAATAAAATTTGAATTAGAGACGTATACATATTACACATCCCGTAGTCTACCACCTTTGTTATTGAACCAAAGCCATGTCTATGTTTCTGAAATTGTTCAAATTTGCTTCCACTAATGAAGATTTTAGCACAAAATGTTTTAGAAATCTAATGCACGCGCTATTTCTATAACTTCTATTATTATTTAGAGGTGACAATCTTCTTTATTCGACCGTCAAAAGAACTTCTCTAAATTTGAATTAAAGGCTTAAAGCACGAATGGTAATTCAGTATAGGTCCCCTGGCAAAAGATGCTATTCAAACAAAAGACAAAAGGATAAGTCATTAACTCCCATAATATTTTTCAGCTGTCAAATAATTTTAAAAATGAGTTTATTTCTCGAGATTATGCAAATGTATATTTGAATTAGTCAATCCCTAGGTGCATGTAACACCTTGTTTAGGACTTTTTTTTTTGGGTCCGTTGACTTGCTGTAAATTTTCTACGGCGATTTTTCAAATGCTTGGTGAGATAATTTTATTAAGGACTATTTATTCTTGATTTTATGGAAATTTTATTTTCTTATTTGATAATGGACAATGTTATTTTTACTCTTAGTGATGCCTAAATTTTGTATCCAATAAATTCAGAAGTTTCAATTTTAATTGTTAATTTGTTATATGAGAAATGCAAGTAAAGTTTGAATTAATTAAGAATGAAATATGTAATTAGACATATACGTAAACAACAGCAGGCTGATGCGGTAAGTTGTCTTGTCTACGGACGTTGTACTGACGACAAAAAGAATCTCCCTCACTAATGCTCGAAGAATTCAACTAGTATTCAATATTCATCTTGTCTAATTACTAGCAAAAGGAAAGTGATAAATTTCTACAGTTGCCATATTTGTTTTGGTATTCGGACCAATCTGACCTTTAGGGCTTAGGGGTGTCTGGCCGGTGGAATTAGGAATAATAATCCTAGGAATAAAATGCAAAATTATTTTATCTCACATTAGATTATGAGTATTAATTAGTTTTGTGAATCATTATGGAAAGTGAGATAGTTAATCCCATGAAATATCCTAATTAACCGATAGGATATTCTTGTCTATCCCATTCCGACAACCAAACAACGTATTAGTAGTATGCATAAGATTTTACTCAGATGAGATCGACTTATTATCACAATTTAATTTATAAATGGGAGTAAATCTGAGATTACATAATTGTAACTTTTTAGATATCTTCATATTCTAAATTGATAGCTACTTCAAATTATTTTTAAGTGGTGTCAATTTATTGTAAATCATATTTGAAAATTCTTCGTACAGGCATGCTGGATGAGACTACTTAATTACTGAATGGTGTTTTCGACTCGATATGTCATGAGACTGTGAGGCACCATTCCCACGATTCTCCACTTCTTTAAGTAAAAGAAAATTATACGCCATGAAAATATTTGAATTTTGACGTTAATCTAACCCCTTTTGAATGTTTGAAATTTCGTTTGAAGTAGTAGTTTAGCATTTTTTTTTTTGTTTAACTGTGTAACTCTAACCATTTTGGCCTGACTAATTTAGATTCACGCAAAGTAAAATTCATTTAAAGGCAAGTTTCTCTATCATATTTTTTTTAATTTTTAAAACTCGAACTCAAGAGCTTAATTAAAAGTTAGAGAGATTTTATTACCTTTTTTTTTTTTAATGATTGAAGTAATTTAGCTAAAATAAGCAAAACGGAAATAAAAATTTTAAGACGGCAAGTCAATGCATTGGAAAGGATTTTTTTCAATACCAGACAATGTTATGGGTCTTGAGGTCGAGTGTTAACACACTCCTAAAGATATGAAATAAAATAAACAAAGCCGTCAGAAAATAAAAGACCCTTCTCTGTTTATAATAATAAAATAACGCACTCATACTCATAAAAGAATTTATCCTATGATAATGATTAGAAGATAACACTTCACCACTTATTTTATTCATTTCCTTGCACGAGTGAATCTAAAGTGCCTTTAAGTTGATGGCTACAATAAAAACTTTCTTTTTTCTCCTTCTTTTATTCTGATCTTTTTTTCTATTCCTTTTCAATTCTTTTTCCCCCTACCCCAGTAAAAAGATAATAATTGTAGTGAATTTTTCAAGCTAGTGACCTATTTACCCTTAAAAATGAGTAACAATTAAATTTGTACGCGGTTTAAAGAACACGCGATTTAATTCAATACGAATGATCTAAGAACAACAAGTAATTGAATTAAAGAGAGAATAAACGATCAAAACAATCGCAATGCAACAATCAAGCCTGGTCTCAAGTTGAACACTGAAATTTAGCCCCGATCGAACTCTCGATATGGGCTCGGTTGCAATTAAAGGAAAGAATACTTGAAGAACACTTTGAATAATAGTCAGAACAAAAAAATGAGCTTTCATTGCTTTGATATGCATGTTAACAATGTGTTAAAATAAAAAATATTCTTTCATTTATATAGTAGGGGAGTTTCAATCCTAGTACAAGTCTAAATAAGATAACAATCTTCTTTTTCCAGAAAATATCGATTCACAGTTGATATCAGACGGGATTTGCGTCGTAATATCAGGTTGACGATGAATATTATGGCTCCCCTTTTGTCATGCCCGACCGCTTCTCTTTTTCCCGTGGTCTTGAAACTTTATTCGGTCCGGGTTCGTTGTGTTGACGTGTCCGATCCTGGATGTATCGTTCATTCCTTCCAAGTTCCGATACGAGGGATTCTTCGGCCATGCTCGTAGTTGCGTCGGATCGTGCTTCCCTCCCGTTTTACTTATTAGAAAATCGGGAAAAATATTGCCCCCAATTTTACCCGTACATAGATAGTCCCCTCGCATTTCGGAGCACAGATTTATCGAAGTGACAAGAAGCGATTAATTGACCCGGGTTTCTTCTTCCGTACGCTATAATCGAACCGTCGGGTCAGTGAAATACCCCATCAATCGCGTCGTTCTGACTTTAGACACGTATCAGCCGCCGGTTGACCGTCCTCGAATGCGAAATATCACACATTAATTACCTCTTCTCTATAAAAGCTTCGGTCCTTTCTTCACTTTTTTACTTTCCGATTCCAAAACTTCTTCATTTACCCCCCGAACTTTTCAGTTGTCCTTTACTCCTTCAAATCTTCATACATTGTTCTTCCTATCTTCATCTTCCCATCTTCAAATCTTCATACTTCATCCTTAAATTTTCAAGTTTGACCTTCAAACCTTCATCGTCATCTTTAAGTCTTCATATTTCCCAGAACTCGATGGCGAAGACTTCGAAATCTCTGCCCCAACAGACCATCCCTTAAACTTCTAACCCTGTCACGGATGCTGAGGTGGTCGTACCTGAAATGGCGCCCGAACCTCCCCTAAAGAACTTCATCCTCGGAGTCTATTCTACAGAAAATGACTTTAAGGTCGAGAAAGCCTCCAGTCAACAAGATCGAGGCGAGGAGGTATAAAGGTACATATGCTCCATTACCGAGGACACGCTCCCTACGGTTCAAGAGAAATGCAAATGGGAGAGCAAAGAAGTGTTCGTCCTCGGTCCTAATGAGGACATCACCACACATGTGGAATGTTATCTAAGTGTTTACACATACCACTTCACACTTACCTCGGTGGACCCCATAGTCCTCAATTTTTGCAGAAGGTACGAGGTCTGCCTCGGGCAGATTCATCCATCCTTGTGGAGGATCGTGATCCTCCTCCGCCACTTCGTTAATAACACCGAGGCATCCTGGGTCACCATAGATCACCAGCTTTGTCTCTACAGTCTCCGATTTTTTCGAGGGGGACTAATCAAGCTCGTTCATCGGGTGAAGAAAGCTCCATTCTCGAGCATTGACGAAGATAGGGACCAAGGCTGGCAGGGGATATTCGTTCGGGTAAAAACTGAGGATCTCATTCCTTCCGAGTGCATGTCATTCCTTGAAAAGTGGAACCTAGCCCATAAGTTCCTCTCCTTCCCGAGTATCTAGAATTTCTTATGAATTTCTGTTCTTCTTTTTCATTGACGTTTCTATCATCGTGCAGCGGTAGCCCGAATCCCCAACGCAGTTCCCCACTTCAAAGAGTGGGTCGAGGGGATCTCCACGCAGATGTCGTATTTCGAGTGCGAATGGCTCAAGCTCTCGAAGGGCAAGTGGAAGGCCCGTTCCCATGGTGAGTGATCTTCCAAACCAAACTTACTTACATATTCAAATGATTTTCTCTAAATCACTCTTTTTCTTTCATAGGTTTTTCCAAGACCACTGAGCTCCGGGCATTGGACG